GTAATGGAGCATACAGTTTTATTTTAAGGGCAGATTTATTTTAATGTCTTTTTGACTTTCTGTCCTGGACTTATATGTTCAGGCTCTAAGAGAGAATTCCTTTTTTTTTTTTTTAATTTATACTTTGGAATCTTTTTTTTTTTAAGATTTTATTTATTTATTTGACAGACAGAGATCACAAGCAGGCAGAGAGGCAGGCAGAGAGAGAGAAGGGACGCAAGCTCCCTGCTGAGCAAACCAGAGCCCGATGTGGGGCTCGATCCCAGGACCCTGGGATCATGACCTGAGCTGAAGGCAGAGGCTTTAACCCACTGAACCACCCAGGGGCCCTATACTTTGGAATCTTTTATGGACAAATTTTTAACTATAGTGGAATCCCCAAGAGAAGATAGACATCTCCCCTGGTATCAAGAGCCAACAGGATTTAAAACATCTAATTTTGTACTGAGCTTGTCAGATAAATTAATTGAAAAGGAAAGTTTCAACAGGACCAGCCTGGGGAAGTGGCCCATATGAAGTGAAACAGAAAACAAAACAGAGCATTTTTTGGTTTACGGGCTACGCAAAATACTCTTTCTCACTTGACTTCGGGCCAAAAAGTGTATTGGCCCTTCTGACCACTGCCTCACCCATCAAGCTGGCTTCTGAATGTCTTTTCCCTCTTACCACTCAAACCCACCTTCAAAGGATAAAGATTTATCGCCACGGGGGGCCACAGACTTTGCAAGAACAACCCCAGAAGAGTCCCGAGGAGGCCGGTACTATTGAGAGAAATGTGGAGTCTCTCTTAAGGAGCCGCCTTCAAAGGGAACACCGTTTATCCGCGTGGCTGGGTTTCAGGATTGGGGTTGAAAATAATCACGTGACTTTCTGGCCATCTTTCCTGTACTAATGTTCCTGTGTTTTTTGTGCCTCATTTGGTGAACCTGAGTCATATACCCATATTCACCTCTGTCCCTTGAGAGACTTCAACTCTTTGAACTCACCCTCGTGCTCTTCCCACAACATACCCACCCGTCTTTATTGGCACATTTACCTGCTGAATCAGACCATTCTGGCCTGTAAATCACACATTGTCCCTTTGGCACAGTGCCTCCCATAAAGCTGGAGGAGTTCGGCTCTGTTAGCCCAGGCAGGATACTGTTTTCCCAAGGCAGGCTCCCAGGATACAGCCGGCTATGAGCACATCATGAGAAAGTCCTGGTATTATGGGTGGCTATTTTTTCAGTTTCACTTTGACTTTAGAATGCGCTTGTATAATAAGAATACTACCAGATTTAATAAGGTAAAAATCATTTCAGTAGTATATGATACCTGTAAATGAAATGCTTCTTCCCCTCCCCCCTCCCAACAGAAGAAACACCAGCAATTACCATTTTCTTGATGCAAATGCAAGCCTTAAGCCGGGAAAAGTCCTAATTTCTGTTTTTCTTCCCATCTTGAAAAAGGTATGAGATGATGAAGTTTATGAGGTCCACTTTTATCGGTTTTAATGGCTTTATTTTTATCTTGGATTCGATTTAACATAATAAAAATAGAATTTTCAGCAAATACTTTATGCATGCCTAGGTGCAAACAATTATAACGGGTTAAATGTTAATCTGCTTAATTAGAGAACTTCAAGACATTGCACTCTTTTCTTCAAACACTCTGTAAACCTAGGATCCTTGAAATCACAAATCATGTCATGGAAAGATAGTAATTAGCTAATTGTATAGGTGAGAGACTGAAGTACAAAGAAATTTAATTATTTCAATGACATTTCATGGTGAAAGAGAGGCAGAACCAGGACCAAAATTCTTGTATAATAAAAATACTGAAACTGAATAGCATATTCTTAAATTTTTTTAATAAAATGTTTAGGGTTAGCAGGAGCCCACCAACAGGGGGCAGCAGAGACCTCTTCTGCCTGCACATATTTTCTGTTCCTAGTTTGGGAATGTGGCTTTTTCTCTGACATGGTTTCAAAAGTGACAACGTGTAGCAATAAGGCAGATTTGTGATGAGTTCTTGTCATCTACTAGTGGCGCATGGCAAAGTGGTATCTCTGGGGACTTCTCTCCATATTTTATTGTAATTTAATATGCACACCCTACCTGGAATTTTGCTGCCCCACCCATCAGAGCCCAACGGATGACAGCACCTCCGTTCCTAGGCTTACTGAGTTGTGCCGCTGTCTTTTCAGGAAGCTAGCATTTAAATCACCAGCACTCCAATCTGGATTTCCCACTGAGAATCCTTTGCAACAGTCAATAAATTAGGCAGAGTAGAGCAATGGAAGCAGGAAACTGCAATAAATTCTCATTTGCATTTCTAAGAAAACACCACGGTCCCACTGGCCCCGCAGCTCCTGGGTTGGAACTGAGGAGCGGTTGGGAGGGGAAGACGAAAAATAAAATCTGAAGGTGAGAACAAAATAAGACTAGACCGAACCAGTTCCCTTCCCCTCCCACAAGGTGGAGGGATGGGGCTGGGCGGGGAGGAGAGGTGCCAGTACAGGCTCCCTCTCCAGTCTTCCAGGCCCTTTTCCAAGCTTCAGCCCTTTCCCCCTGGGGTCCTCTCTGCCCTCCCCTGGGTCTCGAATTTGAGACCTTCCTGTGCTTCCCAGTCTCTCACTTGGGACTCAGACCGCATTTTCCCAAATACAGGGCCAGTGCCTCTTCTGCCACTTGCCCTCAGCTCCCCTTGAAGAAGTCAATCCCACACCCAGCTTAGCCAATGTGGAAATGGATTTCATCAACTTTCACCTGTGCTTATCCTGCAAAACAGATTCGTTTTCAAGGAGCACCTTTTCTTCTATGTCCCCTGGAGTCAGAGTTCACCCTGATGCCTGCAAAGCTGCTTTTAGAAGTCCTGGGGACATAGGTCCTTCATTGGGTCTAGGGCCAGGGGAAGTAGGGACGGACAAATCGATACACAATGTGTGTGTACACATAAACACATACATATTTGCACTTTCTTAATATAAAGTAAAACATGCCCTTTAAGAGACTGACGTGTATAAAAATGGTATCAAGAAAAAAAGTTAAATCTCGTGAAACTTACCACCCATATACAGCCATTGTCAAACTATTTTTAAAATATTAAAAACTTGATTCTCATACAAATCTCATTGATGAGGAAAAGCAGCAAGGCGATAAACTGAATGGAAGTGAATTTGATAGGCTGAGGGTACAGACAAAGACAAAACAGTGATAGAAAATTGTTAGTTTAGATGCAAAACAGGTTCATATCTTACAGAGACTTTAACTGTAACCTCTAAGAGCAGAACTGATTTGATTTGCTACTAGAAAAAACATCCAATGTTATCATGCAACTTCACAGGGTGTAGGTCCTACTCAGTCATAAATAATAACGTCCCGACAGAAAATCAGGTAAACCTTGGGTTGGTCGGCTAGACTGTTTCCATATTGCATGGGAAGGGTATACTGTCATGTTTTTGCTTTTTTCCCCAAGTTTTAGATTGTTTTTATTTTAATAAATTTTCTTCCATTCTTAAGAGTTTTTAGAGTACATATAAATACATGAATAAATAAAACACTTATTTTTACAAAATGAGGATTAGTGGGCATGTATAATTGTAAATATTTCTTCTTTCACTTACTAGTGTATCATAAACATGGTCCAGTCCCTTCCCGCTTCCTCTTCCTCACACCTACCGTCCTTAGCTTCACACAGATTGACAATGAGGAAGAAGGAAAAATCTGGTTTAAACTAAATAAACTCACTTGGAAAATCCCCCATCACATGGGGGAAGATCTTTGCATTTCTTAGCAGATATCTATCTTATAAACACTCCTGCTGGGTCAATTTGCCTGGGTTTTTTTGTTTGTTTGTTTTGGGTTTGGGTTTTTTGTTTGTTTGTTTTTAAGAGTAGGCTGGATGCCTAGCATGGAGCCCAATGTAGAGCTTGAACGTGAGATCAAGACCTCAGCTGATAGCAAGTGGGGGAGTGGGACGCTTAACCCACTGAACCACCTAGGTGTCCCTATTTGCTTTTGTGGGGGGACGGAGGGGCAGAAGGAGAAAGGAGAGAAAACCTTAAGCAGGTTCCACATCCAGTACAGAGTCCAACGAGGAATAAATATCACGACCCTGAGATCACAACCTGAGCCAAATCCAGAGTTGGGCACTTAACCAACTGGACCTCCCAGAGACCACCCCCCAATCTTCTCTTTTTTAAGCATAGTGTGTAGTTCCCCAGCAGCATCCCCAAGACCCAGTTGGACACCACATCATGGATCACCCAGATGTTAAATATGGCACAGGAAAGTTCCCGTATTTAGTAATGACATGCCTGCCTTGGCAGGAGAACTTTTCCTAGCTGTGGTAACCAGTACCGGGCCCCACGCTAAAATTACATCAATAAATAAGGGCAGAGCTGGAAAGCCAGTAATACCTAGCAGGCACTTAAAGGCATAGTTACCTATCAACAGTCTACTCAACTCAAGACACTGGCTGAAGCATTTCACAAAAAAAAAACAATATTTAACTTGATAAAACAAAATTTAAAAGGAAGAAAGAAAGCTGTGGGTCTGGGAGCGGATACAAAAGCAGACCCCTGCCAAGACAGAAAGCCGATATCTGAAGAACCAGCCGTTATTATCAGAGAATGTAAAGGGTGAAAACAACTCCCTCAGCTCATGAGATCCCCAAGAGTTTTAATTCTCTCCACTGATTTTCTGAATATCCACTTTCCAAGGAGCCTGAATTCCTAGGAGTGCCGTGGAAGCTGAGCACTTGTTTGGAAGCTCCAGGATACACCCCCAGTGGAAGGTGAGAATAACAGACACACTTTTCTCCTCATCCTCTGCACCCCAGAAACCAGGGCTTTCCACTTCCCATGATGCACTTGCCTGGGGGCGCTGCTGTGAGCTCCAGCAGGTTCTTGGGCTTCCTCACTCAGAAGAGGGCCACATCATCCCATGAACACTTGTCACCTTTGGGGTTCTGTTTCTTGTCAGTTCCATCAACGCCTCTGAGACCCTGGCATTGCCTGGTGGGGTCCGCGTGATGATGGCTCAGCAGTTCCCCGGGACAGTGGCAGCAGAGAAGAGGAGACTGTACGCCCAGGACGAGGTAGGGTGACCAGAGTGTCTGTGTCTCACAGCATCTTAATCGTAGTGGTCGCTGCTCTTCCCTGGTAGTTTCCCAGGTGCCTTTAGACACATGACCCCACGTAGCCCTCCTGACACCCTTAGACGATTTATTTGTACTAAGGCCATTTCAGAACACACTAAGGCAGCTAAGAACCCTGTTAAGCTGACAGAGATCTCTCCATTGTAAGATGAAGACACGGAGGCTTAGAGAGGTCTAGTAGATTGCCTGAGGCCATGGAGTTAGTGGTGACAGAGCCACGTTCAAACCCCACCCCAAGCTCTATCCTGCAGGTAACTCCGCACACGTCATACCCGGGCGCGCTGACCCTGGCCAAGGGGACCCTGCTAGTGTATGTTTCTGTTCCCCTGTGGCGCGTTACTTGGTCTCTTTTTTTCTGCAGGTGTTTTATGAGGCTCAGGTTGTCTGTATTGTAGGAGCTGATTCATATGCTTATGCCAGGCAGGTCACAAACAGAGCAGAGACGGCGAACCAAGATGGGGAGCCTGTGACTGTGGGCATTCAGTCAGAATTCAGTCAGTCTCTGGTCATTTGGCAGTGATGATCCTTTCCGGAAAGTTCCAAATCATATTGTTACCGCAGTACTTGTGAAACCTCTTTCTCTTGCGTGGCATTTCCCAGCTGCTGCAGAGATATAACACCAACCAGCAAGCATACTTTCTCCTAAAAGTTTCAGTCTGCCTTTCTTTCTACTCCCGCTACCTGGAAATGTGTCCTCAGCCCACGATGGATCCGTAATTGTGCCTAGTGCCCCTAAGTATTCCTGAAATGCTTCTGCTTGTCCTAAAAGGAAACCATTCCAGAGAGCCCCAAATCCCAAATTTGACATTCAAACCTTAGAACGTTCAAGTCCTTGGCCGTGAACATTTTTAAATTTGAACTTTGTTTCTCTTAGCTCCTGTCCCATATTTCACCTGGCCTCATCTTTATCTCCCTTAAGTTTTCTCTTGCTCTGTATAGAACCAGCCTGCTCACCACTGAAGGTGAGAACTGTCCCTTTTTTCTGGGCTGTTCTGCACTTTTTGCCAGGTTCCACGGCAGAGCTGCAGTGGTTCCTTTTGTGCATTCCTGATATGGCCACTGAAGAAGGAAATAGCGGTCATTGGAATTGTTTGTGTTACGCCAGCCATGGTAGAAGCCTGCTAGACACCCTTGGCGCTTTTACTTAAGGACAGAAATGGAAGATTTGTTCACAAATGAATATAGTAGAATGACATCTCACCTGGGGTCAGCTTCCAAGTGAAATCAAGAATGATCAAAAATAACCTTAACATACTGTCGCACGACACCCAGAGAAATCGAGATACAAAGGATTAAAATTTAAATGTCAGAAATGAAATCCAAAGAATCAAAGAAGAAATCATGGAAGAATTCCTTTATAGTATTTCTAACTATGACTCTAAATTTCATAAAAGAGAAGATTAATAATTCAGTTACATATAATAACATACTTCTGCCTAAAGAAAAATATAATAAGCAAAGTTCAAAGACAAGCACCAACTGGAAAAATGTTTCCAAACCACAACACAGACAACAAGCTAATTTCCTAAGTATATAAAGAGCTCTCATATATCATGAAGAAAAAACCCACCAGAAAGTGGGCAAAGGATTCAAGCCATCAGATCACAGGAAGAAGAGATAAATGGCCCTTTTGTATATGAAGAGATGCTAGGTCTGACTAGTAGGAGAAATTCAAATCAAAAGCTACAATGAAATAAATGTCCTTTTTAACCTATCAGATTGGCAAAAATATGAAAGTCTGCCAACAAATTCAGTTGCAAGCTGTGGGAAAAAACAGGTAGCCTCTTATGTCACTGATGGAAGCGTGGACTGAAATAATCTTATGAAGGGAAATTTAGCAATATCTATTAAAATTCCAAATGCTTAAGCCCCTTGACCGAGCAACCCTACTGTGGGAATTTATCCTGCAGTGTAGCTTGAACATATTCAAAATAAGATGTTTTCAAAGTTATTTATTGCAGCATTGTTTGGAATAGTAAAATATTAGAAATATCTCTTGCCATCCATTTATACAATGGAATTTCATGTAGGTATATATATTTTAAAAAGGAATGAAGACGTTCTCTATACGCAGATATTTAAAGATCTCCAGATTAAACTGGTAGGTGAAAGGAAAATGCAGAAGAATGTTTGTACAAAGGAGGGTCATAAAAATATTTATTTTCCTTATATTTGCATGTAGAAATTCTGGAAGAACACACAACCCAATAATGGCAGTCAGCTCTGATAGGCGTAGGTAGAAAACAGATAGGGAGAAGAGCAAAATTCTTCATCAAAAACATTTTGTTTTTTTCTTTTTAAGTCATTTGAATGTGTTTTCCATTTTTGAAAAATAATTTTTTTAAAAACATTGAAAAATCCCTTAAATTGTCTCTAAAGTTCAGAACATAAGGTTTTACACCTATGATCCTATTCCATAATGAAGTCTGAGAACAACTTGACTAAAATAAGGAGTGGAGGTTCAGTTGCTATGCAGGTGTCTGGGTATTAAAATCATTCTCCTTTAACATACCTGGCTGGGAGTGGGTGGAGAATTTTAAAAGGCACCTGCTTGCCAGGAGGGATTAGACTAATCCAATACCAAGCCTCGGGAACAAACCTGTTTTGTTGTTGTGAAAATGGGAGGAGAGGAGTGCCTGGGAGGCTCTGTTCCTTAAGTGTCTAACTCTTGATTTTGGTGGGTCAGGATCTCAGGGTTGTGGGTGGGCCTTACACTCAGCAGAAAGTCTGCTGAAGATTCTCTCTCTCCTTCCCCTTCCACCCTCCAACCTTGCATGCCTTTGACTCTAATCTTAAAAAACAAAGAAAAGGGGGGAAAGCAAGAATTCCCAATTTAAGTGAAGGTTGAAGTTCAGGGGTAAGTTAAGTATGCAGCTCATGGGACTCCATGATATGGTGGTGATATTTTCTAAACTCTGCCAGGCCAGGGTGCATGAAAAGTGCAGCTGTACCCAGTGAGGCACTAGGAGTCATATCCAAAATTGGTACTGTCCTAGGGAGTTCTAGAAGTGATGGTTAACATCATGTATGATTTTCGGAGTTAGGGATGTGGAGGTGACCAAAGTCAGAAATCATAAATGGCACTACATTGGTAATACATTTATTTATCTCTCAAGATACAATACAACACAAATCATTCCTTGGACCTGGGAAAAAAGAGAAAAAAAATACAGAGAACAAGGAAATATTGAGGATGCATTTCAATCCATGGATCAGATCATTGAAGGTGAATTCTTGGTCTTTTCTCGTCATGAGAGTTTTCAATATATAGATACTAATTTAATCAATAATGCTGATTTGATAGAACTCAGATGCAATCAACTCATCTTAACTCTTCTCTTGGAAGTTAGTAGAGAGATGGACAATCCAGGACATCAGATTCAGAGAGGATAGGGAGGTTTCATGAAGGACGATGATTCCTTGGCCAAAAAGTTAGTACTGGTTCCATAGACTATGGAACACATTTGAAATTTTGAAAAAGAGGGTGCCTTGATCAAAAGTTCCCTTTAATAAATTCAACAGTGCAACTGGAGCAAGGTAGGAAGAGAGTATCCATGGGGAACAAGTTGAAGGGCATTATAGTCTGTCAGGTGGAGATGATGACTGCGGCATTGGAGTGAAGAAGAGAATATACAAGCCACTGACTAGGTGTGAAGAGCAAAAGGGGATCGAAGAAAACCTTGAGATTAGAGGTCGGTTGACTGCCAAAAAGATGGTTATCCTTAACAACCTGGGGAGACACCATGACCCGTATGGAAGCAAGCTGAAGACAAGGGCTCAAGGGACTGGCAAGACATTCAAGGGGTATTGCCCACAGGCCATTAGAAGGGAGTTCTGCTGCTTTAGGAGACACTGAAGCTCAAGCTATGGGTTTGGGAGAAGTCATGAAGGTGAACTATGTCACCAAAGGAGAGAATAATATCTGAAAATCTATTTTTTAAAATATTTCTAGATAAAAAGACAAGTACTTTAAGACCAAAATCTGAAATAGAGGAAGTAGAGAGAGGAGTTGGTGCTATGATTGAGTAATGAAAATTATAACACATGGCGGAAGCAGGAGGGAGAGTAGAAAGAGAGAGAGGAGAGAGACAGTCTGAAGATAGAATCCTCAGGAATATTTCCAGTTGGGGTTATTATTATTTCCCACACTCCTGTCACCTAGAGAACCAAATGGGATGAACCGCGTAACTTCACGATGCCCATTCTGGACACTCAAGGGTATGAATTCAAGGGCTTCCCCTATATAAATATTGCCCATATAGGGCAATATTTAATGTATATGTCCCTATATAAATATAATATCTATCTGATACCAGATAGATCTAAAATTTATATCGACAGGTACACCACCAAGTATTTTCAATTGCCCTGATATTTTCTGCACCATCTCCAGTTTCTTGAATGCAAACAAAATTGGATTTTCTAACACCTAGGATTAATTATAGATTGCTGAAGTTTTTACTTCCTACTTGGGTGAAATTGGTTTTTTAAAAAAGATTTCATCCTCCACTCCTTCCCCACCCCACCCCCACTTCTCCTCACATGGAACCATGTATTCTTCATAGCTAAGTTCCCTGGGGGTTTTCAGGGTGCTGAATTGTGGTTGGGGGTTTAATCTTTCCAGGGAAATGAACAGTGTGTGACTGACTGGGTATCACTGCTGAAGGACCAGTCTTCCTGGGCCACTGGAAGTCATCTCTGCCCCTAGGCAGTTTCATCTTAGAAATGGATTCAGTCTTAGGAAGAACCATCTTGTTCTTTATTCTTATGTGACAGCAGAGTTGTGGCTCAAACCAGTAATAATTAGTTGTAGATCTTGGCAACACACCATCATGGGTAGGTGGGGAAATGGAGCCAGACTTGTGGGAGACGTTCTAATTGCACACAACTCCTCAGGGATCTCGTGTGTAAAAACAGCTGCCTCTGAAAACTTGGCCAAA